ACATGTCTCCCAGCCTTTATAAAAAGTCCTAAAACTTGTTGAGAGTCCTAGATTATCGAAAGCTCATTTAGTAAATATCCAGTGTTCCTTCTGTACATCATTACCTGATTCTGACTGTTTCCACCTCACAGTTCACTTGCTAGACCTTAAAAAGCCTTTTGACCTCTGGATGATGACTTTAATAGTTAATCACTTCCTACGTGACATGATTGGGCAAATTCATCTTAATCTATCTTGATGACATTCTACTTTGTTCATTCTTCTGGAGACACCCCAAAGCCATATAGGATTTGTTCTCATCCGCCTGCTACATAGAAATCAGTTTGTTAAGCTGAGAAGTACCTTAACAAACTGTGTGGCCTTAACAGTCTGGGCCTTAACAGGCCAGAAGGGTTTTACACCTCTCTCACATTCTTCCTTGGTCTTATTGTCTCCTCAAAAAGAATCATGATGAATCCCTCTAAGGTTTCTGCAGTTGATCAATGGACCGCACCAACAGATTGCAAACAGTTGTAGAGGTGCCTGGGTTTGGAAACTTCTACCATTGTTTCATCCACAATTACAATTAGATTGCTGCTCCCCTCCACGGTCTCACTTCTGTCAAGGTCAAGATTTCTTTGAATGAGCTGGCAGAGAGGGCATTCTTCCACCTGAAGACATTGTTCACATCTGCCCCCATTCTCCTTCAGAGACAATTCATTGTTGAAGTCTAAGCCTCCAGCACAAGGGTAGAAGCCATCCTTGGTCAGCAAGCCATGCATGATCATATTCACTAGTTGGCTTTCTTTTCTAGGATTTTATCCAGTGCAGAGTGCAACTATAATGCAATGGCAGAGAGCTATTAGTAGCCAAGTTGGCACTAGTGGAGTGGAGACGCTGGCTGGAGCCATTCATTGTTTGGGTGGATGATCAGAACCGGGAATACCTAAAGCCTATTAAAAGGCAATCCTAGGCAAGCCAGCTAGAATCAATTTTTAGGTCAGTTCGACTCTACTATTTGGTCAGTTTAACTCTATCAAGAACATAAAACTTGCCATTTCCAGGATTATCGAAAGGTCAGAATCTGAGAGCGGTGGAGCTGAGGAGTTTATTCTCCCTCAGTATGTTTGTGTTGCTATCACCAGACTGAACCTGGAGAAAGATATCAGGAACACCACCAAGAATTGTCCCACTCCAGAGCCATGTCCTAACGACTGCCTTTTTGCCCCCAGTGATCTGGTTGACAAAGTCCTCAAGCTTTGTCACCTCTCTCGCCTTTTCTGCCATCAAGGAATCATTAAGACCCTTAAAGTTATCAAGCTCAATTCTGGTGGCTCTCCCTGCTGAAAGATGTCAAAAAGTTTGTCTCATCCTGTCCACATTGTAATCAAACCATGCTGTCTCTGCGGCAACCCTTTTTTCTGTTACTGCCACTATCTGTTCCGTTTCATCTATGGTCAAACCTCTCAATGGATTTCATCACGGCTTTGCCCTCCTTCCATGATTTTTCAGTCATTATAACCCTAAATGACAGGTTCTCTAAGATGGTCCACTTCATTCACTTAAGGAAACTCCCATCTGCCAAGGAGATGGGACATGATCATGATCAGGGAGGTCTCCATGATCTCCCTACTGGCTCTGTGTCAGTTCGGGGTCCTTAATTTAATTGTCCTTAATTTAATTGTAGCCGAACGGTGAAAGTTCGGCTACAATTGCTCTGCACCATGAAGATCCCCCCTTCCTTCCATGTGTCTCGTCTCAAGATAGTGTCCCAATTCAGGCCCTCCTCTGGACTGCCTCCGTCTTTCCAGCTCCCTGATGGCGAGCCCATCTACACTGTCCGATGTATTCTCTCATCCAAGAGAGAGGGTCTTGAAGTACACTACCTCAACTGGGAGGAATATGGGCCAGGGGAGCGCATGTGGATCCTGGCCAGGTTTGTAACTGATAACTCTTTCATCAAGGAGTTCCATCACCTGTACCCCAACCAATCTATGGATCTGTCGGGAGCTGGACCTTTAAGGGGGGGGACCTTACAAAGCCTTTTTATCTCTGGATATTTACCATGTGTATGTCTCCTGACCAACACCTTGTCTTGACCCCTCCATGTGTCTGACCCCTCTCTCTGTGCCGTGACTCCAGATTTTAGCCTCCTCCTCAGACCTTCTGAGTAATTCAGTTTTTTTGGATCCGGACCTTTTTATGTTTCTGTACCTTGTTGTGCCATATGCCATGATCATGGTTTTTGAAGAATAGGAACCAGTGTCCATATTTCATGTTGACATGATGACCAGTGAAAAACACGCAGCTTTGGTGAATAACAGCTGGGGGACTTCTGCAGCCCCCCCCCTTTCAGCCAAGGCCTCCACAGGCAAGTCACATGGCAGCCCACGGATGTGTGAACACAACCTCCCCCGCCACCCATGTGAGGACAGACAAAACCACAAAGCGTTCCTTCCTCTCATTCTTCCTCTCTTTGCCTCCTGCGCTCTGTGCCTCCTCTCCCTTGCCCATGAAGCTGGGGCTTTGGCTGGCTCTCCACAACAGTGGAGATGCGGGCCCAAGGCGACCCAAATCTCCAGAATCACCAAGGATCGGTCATTGTGGTAACCTTTCAAAAACAAACTACTGCAAAACAGACCTTTTGCAACACATTTCTCTTGAGTTTCAGAACTTACAGAGCCAGACTGGAGAGAAGGCCTACCCTGTCTTGATGAACGACTGAGACAAAGATGACCCCTGCTACAGTATGTGAGACTGAGACAAGGAAACCCCTGGTTGTTGCTTCCCTGACTGCTGAGCTGCAGCTGGATGAAACTCAAGCCCTCCAATGGACATGGAAAAAAGGTTTGCAGGTCTGGCATGATTAGGGATAGAACAAACAACATATGTTTACTGTTGAGTAAAGACAACGCTAACAAAATGGACTGCATGCTACGCTATGCTACAGGAATATGTGTTGAGCTGTTGCTGAAGCTTGGACAAGCTTTATTTCAATAAGAGTTTAAACACTGATATAACATTAGTGTTCATGTGTTCCTCATATGCTCATAACATTTCCATTACCAAGAATGACCAAGAGTCATTTAGTGGAATACTGATGTCTATTCATTGCTAGCTATTTCAAAGAGGGTAAAGAATCATTTGACTAAAGGTTATTGGTTCTTGATTAAGCAAATCATTCAATAAGACATTATTTGGCCAAATAATGTTTATTCACCTCATGGATTTGCATTGTGAATCGGTCTGAAAACATTCCAATTTCTTTAAAATTAGTGAAAAGCTAATTTGATCATATCCCAAATTCTTCCAGGTTTCATACACAAAATCCATCTTAAACTGCAATATGGTTTTCAACCCTGTTTCCCCTTCCTCTTTGTACATAGTAGTTTAGTTTAGATTAGTTGAGTTTCGCTATTCTTAGTTGAGAGTGTTAAACTGAAATATGTTTGACTTGAAGCTGAATGATTTTTGTTAATAAACTGTTATATTTTGAACAAAAATTGTGGTGAATTTATTCTATGTATGTGCAGAATTAAATGTTTGACCATGATTAGAGCTCGAATCACTCTTTCATTTATTGTTCTAACACACAGCTAGTAGGGCATGGGTTGATAAACAGTATATAACAGCTAAAATAATATCCTATTAAATAAAATCTTTTACAGACCCTACCAGGGAGGTCAATAAACATCTTAAAGTATCAGAAATATAAACTCCCAGCTGGCTGGGAATTGAAAACAACATAAAATCACAACAACCTAAAAGAGCAGCCTCTCCCTTGGAAATCCAAAGTTGTTTATCTTTTACTGAGTGAGTCTCTGCATATCCCTAGGTTTCAGTTTCCACTGAGTATTGTTACACTTGCTATCAAAGCGATCCTACACTGACATTACTGCCGGACCAAGCCTCTCTGTGAGACTTACTGTAGGACCCACATCTAGTTCCCTTTCATCACTAGGGACTTTGAGAAGGTTTGTGGCATAATTTCTGATTGATCTACTAAAACCTAAAGACAGTTCAGCTAATAACCTGATTTGTCCTCATTCCTGCACCTGTTGCTGATCAGTTTGCTGCCTTGCCTGCGGAGCTCAGTGAATAAATCTATAAACTGTCTACCAGTGTGTCTTGTTGAATTCAGTCTGATACTTTACAAAATAAGACAACACACATGTTGCTTAGGAAAAATAAAATCTATACTTGTTAATTTTATACTTATATATATATATATATATATATATATATATATAGGCAACATAGGACCTTTTGTGGTTCCATCGTGGTTTTGTTAAACAATCTTCTGAAGAGGATACTCCATAATGTTATTTATTTAAAGAAGAATTCTTCTCTGTGAAATCAACTCCAGAGGTTCTAGACGAGTTCATAGAACAGGGTTTTTTTTAGATTTTTTTCTGATGCTGTAACTAGCAGATTATGGCGGAAGAGATTACCCTCTCGACGACAGACTAATAGGAGATGTGTAGCACCTTGGTGCAAACACTGTTATAAAGTTGCTCAATACAACACTTTGTAGAAATGTTTTATTGTCACAGGGACTATGTTTTTGGATAAAATCATTGGGTAAAAATACATAAGGATTTCCATTCACTGAACATCATTGTTATAAGTTGGAAAGTGTATGCACATTATTTCAAGTGACAACGTTGGAAAAAGGGGGTTACATGTTTCCACTGTGGTTGTAGTGCAGTGAAAGTTTGAAATAAAAATCGGCCAATCAGTTTGCCAGAAATGGTTTACTCCCACTTTGCAGTTATATTAGAGGGCAGTGATCTTTGTTTCTTAGAGGGATGTTGCTACTATTGTAGGTCAATACAAAAATGTTTTTTGATTAGTTTTTTCTACTACTCTTCCTGAAATTGGGATGTAAGTATATATCTGTACTTATATATAAAGATATATAATATATAATCCTAAATTATCAGATTTTTAATTTAGTCTGAAATCATTAAATGGTTATCTATACTAATGAGATTATTGCTGGGGTCTTTTTCTAGTTTGCACAGAAGAATTTAAGTTTGGGGTGAAAACTGTAACTGCTGGACAAAATGTCACCCTGACATGCCCTCGCCAGACCTCTGCTCACTACAAAGAAAATTTATACTGGATCCGCCTCGTTTCTGGAAACCTGCCTCAATTTCTTGGAGTATTATTTAACTTTATGGATGTTTCCAAAATTCCTCGCATTCAGACAAAACAAAATGGAGAACAATTTCATCTTCATATAAATGACGCTCAGCAAAATGACACTGGACTTTACTATTGTATTAAAGTCAGACAACTGGATTTCATATTTATCAGCGGAACATTTGTTAAAATTAAAGGTAAAAGTAATACATTTTTAATAACATCATATTATTCCTTATAAGTTTACATTTTCCTGGTTCTAAGGGGAAAATCCCCTTTTCTTTATTTTGTTTTTCAGGAGAGGAATCAGATGTTAATGTTGTACTTCAGAAGCATCCATCTGTAAGAGTTCATCCAGTAAACCCAGGGACTTTACAGTGTTCGGTTCTCTCCAAATCAGACTGGTCAACATGTCCAGCTGATAACAGGGTGTACTGGTTCAGAGCTGGATCAGATGATTCTCATCCTAATTTTCTTTATCTACAAGAAATCAGTAAAGCTGAATGTGAGAGGAGTCCTGGGGTTCCCTCTGCACAGACATGTTTCTACAACTTTTCTGAGATCTCTGATGCTGGGACCTATTACTGTGCTGTGGCTGCATGTGGTCAGATATTATTTGGAAATGGAGCAAAAATAAAGGGCATCCAGAGTATGTTTGCAAACAACAATTATTATTTAAAGGTTAGAGAATTATAATTTACAAAATAACCTTAGATATTTTTTTTTCCTAGGTGCCATCATAGAGGATTTCTCCAATATAGTTCTTTCTTCATTAATCTCAGCTTTGGTGATAAGTCTTGCTATCATATCTTGTCTCATTTACAAAATTAAGAAGAAAACATGTAGCTGTTGCAAAGGTCATACGATATTCTTAATTGTAATGGTCCAAATAATTACTTATTGGTTTGAGACTTTAATATGTATTTTTTCCCTCTCTATAAATAGATTGTGTCCTGGGCATTGATGATAACCAGAGTCAGCAGGTATTGAAAGGAAATATTTGATTTGTCTATTTTTCATGAAGATAAGCATTTTTTAAATGTAATTTAAATGTATTTTAATATAGAGGGAAGAGAACATATTGATTTATTCATCACCACAGTTCAACATGAACAAGACTGAAAAAGCAAGAAGAAGGAATCTAAATCCAGCGCAGGAGGAGATGGTCGTCACAAATGTTATATATACTGATGTTAAAAGAAATTGATAGTATATGGGTTATATACCTATAGGATATAGGTAATAGGATATTATTTTCTTTATAATTGTTGTTTCCCTTTTTAAAAATGTATTTAACAATAGTCTTTCATCATTAAATGTGCAGTATGCATAAATGTTTTAATCATGATTTACTGTATGTGGACTAAATTAGGTTGCCAGGGTTGCTTTTGTATTGTTCATATTTTTTACATAAAGTTAGACCTATAATCTTTTATTCTTAACAGTTTTACCTTTCAGGGTTTTAAAGTTAAATCCCACTTCTTAAAAAAAATAAAAAATAAAAAATTCTTTCTAGGGAGTTCCCTTTAAACGGGACAACAGATTTAATCCTTAAAATATCCATCTGTTTTCAGGCTTTTTTTATATCCACGGTATCTTGTTACAGTTCAATTATCAGAAACCAAATTTAGGATTAGTCCATGCAAAAACTGAAATTCCTGTGAGGTTCATTCTGAGATTGTAAGTAATTTCATGTTACCAAAATTATCTGTTTTTTTGTAAATCAAAAAGTTTAAGAAAAACATGATAATACAGTATGTGATGTGTTGGGATAACTATCATTTATGATGTGTGAGTGTATTACTCCTCAGTGTTGACTGCCAGCTGCGTGTCAGAAGTAATGATTTCCACAATAGTTTAACAGGTTAGGATGGTTCCTCCGTCCGAATATACAATTATAATCTTCATTCTGTACGTGGCAAATATTTGCGAATGAAAAGAGAGCGGTGTACTTCACGTAAGAAAGAAGT